TCGTAGATAAAGAGAAAATTCCGGTACCCACTAACGGTAAAATTTATGAAAGAAGAATGACATTCGGAGCCTTTTCAGCGTGAAATTGTGTGTAATAACTGTATTGTGAATGCCCCGAATATAGATTTGCGTGCCTACCTTCATATATATATATATATATATATATATATATATTATGACAGTGGGTGCTCACCGATCAGGTTACGGAACATGTTCGTTCCGTTGTGCCTTAGGGCTCATACTAGAACCCTCGAAGGCAGTCGCACAGCGACTAGTAGTAGACATAGATGAGATGATGCCGACAAAGACAAGGGAGACCGGAATGGCTATTTCTGGCTTATTAGCTGTCATCAGCCAGTCATACCCAACCCCAAGTGTGGATCACTTGAGATTCGAACCCGGGGTCATTGGTCATGGAGTTTGAGGCTCTACCATTGAGTCACGGGCCCGACAGGGGTCGCGTCGGCGGATAGCTAACTTGTGTTCATTAATGCGAGTCCCAAGTTGTCGACCCGTGTGACCAATATAAACGCAACGGCAGTTAGCGCACGGGATGCGGTAAATGACGTTACTTTGTTGTTCTTTGGGTATGGGATCCTTTGCCCGGGATAGTGCTGTCCGTAAGGAGGACGCCGGCTTGTGGGCAATGCAGCTGCTAAACCGGTTTAGTTGTCGGGCCGTCACTTCAGAAATTCCTCGCATGTAGGGCAGGGAATAATATTTCCTCTGTGCCGCTTCTCCACTTGGACTCTGATCTTGTGGTTGCCTCTGACGTCTGAGACAGTTTTTCACGAAGCTAATCGGATATCCGTTAGATCGGAATAATTGTTATAGGTAGGCTAGCTCTCTCTTAAGTAGATACTGGCTGCTACAGTACCGAAAGGCTCGGTGAAAAAAGTTCGAACGCAGCTTTTTTTGTGGGCCGCAGGATGATTACTCCCGTAGTTGAGGATGTTTTCGGCGCTGGAGTCTTTTCTGTGGACGCTGGTTGCGAGATTGCCATCAGTCAGTCTTTGTACACTGACGTCAAGAAAAGGGAGGATGTCCCCTGTTGCTTCTTCGCGTGTGAATTGTATGGCGGAGAAAACACCGTTAAGACTCTGGTGCAGTCGTTCAACTTCGCAGTTTTTTATGACTACGAAGGTATCATCTACGTAGCGGAGCCAGATCTTCAGTTTGATGGCTTGAATAACAACTTCTTCTAGTCTTTGTAAGACTAGTTCGGCGAGTAGGCCCGATATCGGTGAACCCATGGGGGTGCCCTTGACCTGCTGGTAATACTTGCCATCGAATTGGCAATAGTTCTTAAGACAACGCCCAAGCATGTCTAAAACGTGCTCTGTTGGAATGCCAAACGGAGTTTCCTCTAGCCGTCGAGCTACGCTCTCAATGGCCAAGTTATGCGGTATTGAGGAAAATAGGGCAACTACATCAAACGATAAAATGCATTCATCAGGGCTTATATTAAGGCCTTAAATTCTCTGAAGGAAAGCATGAGAGTTGTTAATGCTGTACTGCCATCCATTCGTGAGGTGCTTTAGGTGCTTGTACAGCCACTTGGCAAGGTTATATGTAGGCGATCCAATGAGCGGCACTATGATCCTCAACGGAGCACCTGCTTTGTGCACCTTTGGGAGGCCATAAGCACGTGCGATACGGGTGTCGTTGGGAGTCAGAAATTTGGAGTCCGCGGGTATATATTCCGAGGAATATGGAATAATTATCTCTCTTGTGCTACCTTATGTCAATATTTATATATATATATATATCAAAAGAAGAGAAGGCGTTCACCCGGAGAGATGTATTTGTGGTCTAACGTTCTGGATAGTCGAATCTCCTACCCATCTTCAGTGACTGAGCAGTCGTGCATACAGCTTTCCTTTTATGGCGCACTTTGTTTGATGCCTGTCCCACCAATGCCGCCTGTGTGGCTGCATCCGACCCGCATGTCACCGTGACCTGAATCCCGCCCATCTTCCTCGGCCGCGGTGATAATTGCCGGCCCCGATTGCACCGCGCCGTGACTGTCCCCCGTCAAGAATGTCCGTAAAACCAGATAAGGGGAGGTAAATTGATGTGGCAGTTGACAGAACAATCGGTAGACATCTAGGCTCCTTGCACCTGCCTTGCCGTATGATCATCACCTCGGCCCACAATTTCAACGGTGTCAAAGTTGAAGACGTGTCCCATTTTGGCGGCATGGGTTGCTACCTCCTACTTTGGGTCCAACCTTTGCACGGCCAACTCATGCTCGTGCATGCGCGTTTGCAGCCGTCGGCCGGTTTCCACAACGTAGTTACACATTCCGCAGCTGCACTGAAGTCGGTAGACAACAGCCGACATCTCCTGTTTAAGGATCGGGTCTTTTGGCCGCATCACTTGCCGGCGGATTGTTGAGTCGGGCCGGTGGGAAACGCCTATTCTGAGCGGCGCGAGGGATCTAGCTAGGGCTTCGGAGACCCCTTGCATGTATGGAATGCTCCGCCACGATTTTGGCTGACTAGGTCCTTCATTCCGCTTCCTTAGTTGCTTTCGGCTTCGTTCAACGAATGTTCGCGAATAGCTGTTGGCTCCGAAGAGTTCTTGGAGGAGCTTCATCTCGTCGAGTTTGGCGACTGGAGTGCTGCAATGAGTTTCCACCAGTCATATAGCGTGCGTACACAGCTTCGTTTGTGTTGCAGTGGGTGGTTACTGTTGTAACTGAACATTTGCAGCGTGTTTGTCGGTTTTCTGTAGGCTGACGTGCCAGGTTACCGTCCGGTTGGCGGCAGATGAGAACATCCAAAAATGAAAGATTGCTCTCCAATTCTTCTTCTTCCATCGTGAAATATAGGTCGGGGATGATTGAGGTCAATAGTTATTCATTGTAGCATATTTTATCCTGATCGATTATTACGCAGGTATCATCAAAGTAGCGCGCCCAAAACTTGGGTTGATATTCCCCGAACAGTCGTTTCTCCAGTTTTTGAAGAACGGCCTCGGCAATGAGTCCAGAGATTGGTGAACCCATCGAAGTGCCCTTAATTTGCTCATATGTGATTCCCTCGTAGGTAAAAAGGCTCTTCAGACAGAGCCCCATGACTTCTATGAGATCATTAGATGTGGGCTGGCCATCGCCCTCGTAGTAATTCTGAGGTATCATTTTCATTATTATTGATGTATATAGATATTTTCCCACAAAAACCCCTTTCATAGTTCTGCAAGCACTCCGAGCACTAAAGTTAGTGCATACTTCAAACCAACGTACCGTTGGAGACTGTGATTTGTATGCACTTTGAGACATACTGAAAGAGAAAATTCCGATACGCGCTAACGGTAGAATTTAAGGAAAGCGACTGACATCCACAGGAAGACAGTTAAACTGCCATGGATTTATGATTGCTTGGCATGCTCAAGCTGAGTAGAAGGGCTGACGAACTAGGTAAAGCAGTTAGTAATGACAATCATGTGCCGAGACGTTGACAATTTCTTCCGTATATATGTGCGCATATAGATGTCACGTTCAACATCCGCCGAAGAAGGCGAAGTAGAAGGGAGGGCGAGTTCATGGTCCAAAGTGTATCTGTATTGACGTTTCGGTGACTACCTCGTTTCCATCATCATAATGATGCATTTGGTGTTTCCGCAGTTGTACACAGCACAGCGTGTCAAAATTATGGTGTGTTGTATGTTGGTGAAACGAGCGAGTAACCAGTAAAGTAATTCATGAAAAGCAACTTGCTATCGCCCTCAAAGTAATCCATCACTTGTTCTAGCTACATACAATGGGTGAAATTCTGATTCTCCAATGGGAGAGCCGTAGAGAATTTGGGTGTCAATGAGAAGATGGCTTGTCAGTTGGTGACAGACGGGCTCTTCCAGCAGACCTATAGGCATGCATCCCGCCTACCGGGCACTACACGCAGAGCTCGGATCGGTTCGAATAACGTCAATAGTGCAGGCAAGTGCGCGGGGGCGAGAGGCCACGCTGGCGGAGAAGAGGGGAGGGGGACAGCCGGAGATCAAGTAAAGCGCTGCTTTACCAACGCGCCGACGAGGCTCAATTTGTAGGTTGGTGGTAGCCCTACTGGGATGAGCTGAATGTGATTTCAAGCGCCTGCGAACTTTGCGGTGTGACTGAAAAATTTGTGTGACCATTATTTACTGGTGGTGTTTAAATTGGCGTTAGATAATCTCAGGTTTCGGTATGATGCCTGAGGGAATTACGGTGTACATATGGTGTAACCTGTGCAGGGGAAAGAAAGCACTAGAGGTCCAACACAATCGAAGGATTTCATGTTCTAGCTCGACAACGTCTACATGCCGCGACATCTCTGCCGATTCAACTACAAAACGTCACTTTGTTACACAGCTGGGGAAAGCACATTGTGTGGTAAATCACTTTGAAAATTGCAAAGTCATTGTTAACTGCACACGGTCCAATCGTTGAGAAATGTTATATAAGTGGGCTTTGGGGGAAAACGTGAAAAGTGAACACGTAAAAGGGAGGGCATAAATGAAAGGCATTTGGGATTAGCAGGGCAAGTTGAGTTGATTACATGGTCCAACTGTCTGCATTGGTCGGCCCTCCCCTCTCTGTATGCAATTAGTAAAATATCCGAGATGTTTGTGACCGAGCTGATACACGGTATGCACTTCTGTTTCCGACTGTATGATCGCCATCACGCGGTGTTGTGTTCAAAGAACGTGGAATTCTGTTTTCCTGCCTTAATTATCATAGAGCCAAACACTCAACTAAAATGGCTGCCAGCAGCGTTTCCCTACGCCCAACGTACTTGCATCCGCAGGTACATGCTACATCATAAACACAATGTCCGTGAAACCTATTTAGATTTCAGCACCCCTTCCCTGCCACAAAGACAAGCACACATTTCACATTGGCAACCTGGCAGCCCTTTCATCCAATGCAATGCGAGTTACAACTACGAACAGAATATAAAAATGAGGCAAAACGTCCGGAGTCTAGCAGGACAACGCCAATTCGGTCCAGTATGATAATAATGCCTGCTGCATCGATCCTACTTCAGACTGTTTTGGTTCTTCTCGCTGGCATTTCCGGCAAGTCCAACTCATTCATTCAGCTCTTAAAAGCATTGCCAGCACAATATGTAGCTAAATGCCTTTTAAGTTATAAAATCATCATTTAAAGCTAATACGCCAGAAGCCGTTTCATTGCCAATAATATATCGGTGACTACTACACATCACCTAGAATCTTACCTGAAAAAATCGGTTCTAACATGCGTCTTGATCAATTACGCTTTTAGCACGCGCTGACGAACCGCCGACTTATGACCTGTGCAAAGGTGAACACACAGAATGTACGACTGTGTCCTACACAGCCGGCGACCAAAGCAAAGGCCTAGCATGTCGTAACCAATGCTTACAGCAGAAAGGTCCGTCGTGCATTCTCAACGTGCATGCTGCTACCCTATCGCGATTCAGCCCGCAACTGTCCCTCTATTTTATTGACCCACATTCCACGTGTCATGCGGTTTAGGAACTAACCTAGTTCTTCTTTTGTAGACGAATTAACCGAGGAAATCACTGTGCATCTATGCGACCGACCCGACCAGTCTTGTAGCACCTACGGAGTTTATGGACCAGTGGGTTTCAGCGGCATCTTCGAGAGGCACGTCGCATGTGTTAAGGCGTGTCAACAGTTTGCGCAAAGTAAATTGTCATCTTACCCTACGCTCCCTGTTGTACATTTGCTGTGTTTGCAAAACAGCCTTACCGCATAATTGTATAGAACTGTTTCAGTATTGATTTCTATCCATACCACTGATGTATTGCGCATTTTAATGTTTCCCGTTTCTTCTTGTTTCTGCTATTCTTTGCATGCTAGATGTACTCAGCTGGGTGCAGAGGGCGAACCACTGAATCCGAAATCAGGGAATATGAATGACGTAAGTACCTTACTAAGCCAAATCCATGAAAGGGCTTTCAGTGGCTTGAAAAACTGTTTGAACACATGCATGTCTTATGGTGCCTGAAATGCTTTTTCTATAGAGCCAACATCTGTTGAGGCTTAGTTGAGGAAGGGGACGCTTTGCGCAATGTTATGCAATTTCCCTTCTTCCAGCAAACAAGTTTAGCCAAAATTGCATATTAACAGCTGACAATTAAATTGTGCACATTGGTGAGCTACAGGACTCATGAATATAACAGGCCATGATGGCATGCAGTTATTTCACCAAGAATGGGTCATTGACGCAGAGTTATCTTGACATGGTCATGAGTAAGTCGAATTCGCCTGATTAAAAATGGATGGACGTCGTTTTTCAAATTCTAAAACAAACAAACATGGAGATTGTCGTTCCACATTGGGAGCGTCCTTCCTCAACTTGCAGAATAGTTCACCGACCTGTACGTCAGTGTCTGTCGGCATACATCGGATGACAGCTGTCGGGTGGTGCGAAATAGAGATCAACTCCTCGTAGAGAGATTGAGTACGTCCACTGGGTACATCTCATATTCTTAACGCTAACATATACACTATAAATTAACATGAATACTCAAATTAAATATTTCTTTGATTTTAGAATCCTCGCTGGAGTCGATTATTTGAAATCAAATTTTCCTTTCTTGTGATTTTCGCTTCTGTCAATTTGAATAAAAATGTGTTGTCGATCATTTAAATGACATTCCTTTACAAACGGTAATACCTGCGTCACACAGTGAGCATGTGGTAAAATGCATTTCGATAAGGACTACGATTTAATGTTCATATTGTCGCTGACCTTAAACAGTCGGACACATTATGTTGATATGTGCTGAATGTGTGCGTCCTTCTCCTTATTTTGTACTAAAGCACGCCCTTTGCACTTTGACGAAAGTGGATATATGGGATTTGAAAATGCACTACGATCCCAGTGTAAGTGTGCACGAGATTATCTATTAAATATGTATTTGGAATTTGCAGTCACAAGATGTGTATGTTCGGCGTAAGGAAGGTCATACATTTGTTCCGTTCATTTCACACGCTTCGTTGTGCCTAATGCGAATAACAGAATCAAACAGGATGCTATAGTTGATTATTGCCTGATTTCTGAAAACAAGTTTAAATTATGCGTGCTGACAATTCGTAAATTAGTATTACATATTATTTATGAAATATTCAGTAAGTGCTAAGACAATATTCAGGCAGATAGGCATAAGAGAAGGTAGCATTCTTGCATAAGTACAATCAGATAAGCCAGTTAACTGCATCCAACGAAGCACTATTGACAGACGCAGTATTTTGGCGTTTAGTGAACAAATCAGGCATAGCAAGCCAGATGCAGTTAAATCAGTTAAATAAAAAGGACGCCGGCAAAATATGGTCAGTATCATTTGTGTTAAATGGTCCAGGTGTCTGTTTAAGTGAATATGGGATGTGAGTGCATTTGGGAGATAGTGTCTTCGTACAAATGCGTAGTGCATAGTTTCCGTTTTCGAAGGCTGAAATGTTAATTCCTCAGCGGTGTAACCCTTTGAAGCAGTATGTAAACAATCTTGTTGTTTAAGAGAAGTAGGCCATTTGAACTCAGTCGTATTATGCAGTGGATTCTCAGGAGCAGAGTCAGTGAAGTTTGGTTGTATTTGTGCGCCTTAAGTGTTATTTGGTTGCTGAGGCTGTTGTTGGTAGGATGCCGCTATCTTCATAGCAAAGAATGACAATCGTCCTACTGGATGAATCTACGGAAGGGGAGAATAATGAGCAGAGCGTACGCCAGCTTGCATGAACCGAGAGCAGGCATATTTGGTCACCCTGTCTCTCGGTTAATGTTCCAGATAAAATCTCCTACCTGCGCACGGGGCTGTCCTGCATTGGCTCACTCGGCTATCCAACCGACCAATCAGATTCAAAGTCGCGTTGGGCGTGATGTATCGTAAGACGATTTGACTAATTCCCTGTCTCGCTGTTATGGGAACGCCGCTCATTCGGCGCTGGACGTCCCATCTCAGTCTGCCAACTCTCGCCAACTCCTGCCGTTATGCTACGCAGAATGCATCATCCACCTTCTCATTCTATTCAGGACCGGGCCTGAAGTTCGCTGTTGCCAGGGTCTCATTCTCGGCCTTGGATTCTCTGATAGTACTCCGTTAGCATTTATGAAATCCTTGTTCGTGTCACATTGACGATGTTTGTTGCAGTTCGCCTAATCAACTGTTTCCCTATTGACAAACTGACGTGAGATTCAGATTATACTGTGCAACAGGTAGACTTGTGTTAAACTGTGTCTGCTTAATGACATGTGGTTGGCGGTGCTGCTTTCACTACCGAATACGCTTGCGGTACATTTGGCAGAAACCTTTCCCCGGCTTCAGGCCAGTCACTTGCCTTTACACCGTACCATAGGCGATATTTGGCTTCATCGATATGGGCCCATACCTTCTTGTCCTTAATGGTTCCATGTTATGGCAATTTCCTTTTCATTCTACTCCAATATGCTTCTATAGCCTTGGCATTCTTTTTCGTGTTGGGATCCACAAAATTGGTGGAATGATTGACCGTCACCGATGTAACTGGCGATCTTGGTTGATCAGGGAATTCAGTTCAAAATGCACATGTCAAAGGATTGCCTTTGGCAAAGACTTTGAGAAAAAAGAGTTCGAGTTTTCATTTATTGAGCACTGCGTCCAGTCGCACAGGGGAAAACTGTCACCCAGTAATATGCTCCTGAGTGTGTTTTTCCTAAACAAAAACCGAATCATTTACTAGTCATGTTTCGTGACACGAGCTTTAATGTAACAAAGAACTATGGATGAGCGTTACCTCTATTCAGTACTGACAGAAAACTAAGTTGTTGCATTGTTTCCGCAGTCGAAAGCGGGAGGGAATTTTTCCACTAAATACTTGTTTCGAAATCAAAAAAGCCACGACTTTAAAAAATATCGCGTTTAAGGAGAAATTACTGGCAACTGTGGAAATAAAGAAAAGACCCTAAACGTAGCAGCTCCTCGAAAATTCTTGCATAGTTGTTAGATTTTGGATTTTTACCGCAAATCGCGTTGCCAGTGTCCCTGCCAAGAAAGCTTAATAATCTAGTTAGCACATGGATTTCAGAATATTTTCCGCCATCTGATTTAGGCTTCTTTCATAGTTTGGACAGTTTGTGATGAATAGGTCTAGTTGATCTATACAAACTGCTCGTAATATTTCTTCAGGTATAATTCACAAAATATAGCAGAATGAGCTGGAAATGACGTGCAGGCGATTAGTTCGCTTTAAAATCAAGCAAGACAGATAGGTGACCTCTTTTTAAATATGAATGTCAATCTTGCAAATGGCTTCGTATTTTGATTTTTTTCCTGGAGACTGAAGATATTAAAAATAGTAGCGAAGTTTTATGAGCCTGAAACGATGTATCCCACTCTTTTGCAGCTCTGAACATTTGGAGACAGTAGTTTATAAAGTTGAAGGTCAATAAATGAAAGTTTGGTTAAAGCAAGCGAAGCAAACCCTAGTCTCGTATATAACATTGTTTCATGCCAGTCCAAAGATCTGCCCTGACTTTTTTTGATTCAAACATTGTCGTGTGCTGCACTTAGTAATTAGAGGGAATAGCCAGAAAACAAACAGAATTCTTTTCTACAGACAAGTGGGTTAACAGTGCCCTCCGGTTTCGGTAAGTAAGCCTTGTTGACACTCTGCTCAGCTGGCCAAGTAGCATTCATGAGAAAGTATGGCTGTTGGCAAATTTCCGATAGCAAACCTCAAAGTGTAACATAAATATAGGCTTCCTTTATATTATTATTTGTGTTTGTGACCTCAGTGTAGTCCCAGACGTGGAATTCGTTACTTATGGCACCACGGTAAGCCAGCATTCGTGTCTGCAAGTGCTGAAACGAATACTCCAGGCAGTAAGAAAATCGGGGCCTGGCTGATTTATCATGACAACGCCCCTGCCAACACAACCTTTTGAATCAACCAATTTGTAATGAAAAACACTGAACTGAGATCCCTTGAATTTCTCTTATTTTAAAAAATGAGGGAGACATTTAAAAGAAGGCCATTTAAATATGTGGACAATATCAACAAAAAATCGCTGGAGGCACTTATCAACACAAGTTCAGTAGAACATGAAAAATGTTTCGGGCAGTAGAAACCTCCTTTGAACAAGCGCATATTATCTAATGGACCATATTTTAATTGGAACTCATATATTTAATATGTCATCTTGCATAGAAAATTAGACAAGTAATTCTCGTTTTTCTATACGCCCTGGTATGTTCACAAAGAGATCAGGGCAGTTGAACCGCCAGGAAAACGGCATTTGACTTAGAAATTAACCACGAACTTGGTCGATCAGATTATTCTAGGTCTATAGTCTGAGACTGAGGTATTTATGCATGAATATTTGGGCCAAAGTGCATTAGCTACAGCGAGTTACAGCGTAATATTCATTGATTGCCGACAGGCAGCTAGAAATATGCTTTGTGTTAGGGGGATACAATACTTACAGCACAGGTACTGGCCAAAAGTCCATCTACCCGAATGAAATCGGTTGAGCAGAACAAAATTCGAAAAATGTATTTGGATAATTATCAAGGCAAATGTAAGTATTTAAGTAAGCAGTATAACCCATGTTTTAATGGCTGTAGCATGAGTGTGTGTTTCATCATAGGCCTGGGTAAGCATTTCGACATGCATATAAGTCCCGATCCACAGGCTCATTGAGAAATCCGCCAATTCTACGTATGCTGCTGATTTATGGTAATAGATTCCAGACTCTGAAAGATTCGCTGTCTTCTACCTCAATTTTAACTTTTCTTAACATTAGCAGAGATGCTTTTAAGTTCGTCTTAGACACCGATTCTAGCAACACCGCTATGGAAGCAGTTCGCTCTAATCAAAGTCAAGTGTTACCGAGTGCGTTGTCTAGTATTTAAATCGA